ACTCAACGAGCTGTGACATGCTCCCATTCACCAAAGCTGCAGGCAGCAGAAATGAACGAGAACTGTAATACTTTCTGGAGACTCAGACCTCAAGATTCCCCAGGAAAAAGCTGTAACACCCCTTGAGCCTCTGTGGTTGCTAGCATCTCCAAGTTATTAGGCTCTGCCATGTCCCCCTCATCCAGACACCAGCACCCAAGGTAGAAGCCGGTCATGGCACTCCTGGACCAGCTGTGGGCTGACTGCAGAGCCAAGGCAAGTGCAGGATCCAGACCAGTAGCAAGAGCAGAGCGCAGCCTGCTAGGCCTAGTGGGCAGGGCAAGCCCAGCAGGCCCAAATGAAGCCTGGGTGGAGGCGCCGCTGGCCGAGGAGGTTTCCCACTGGCGAAGTGGCACTGAAAGAATTCTGTGCCATCAGTACTCAAATAAGCTACTCTTACTCTAAAACTGAGTTAATGCTGTCAAAAAAAACAAACAAACAAAAAAAACCCCACAAGTTTCTAAGCACACGTAAACCAACAGATTGTCATAATGCATTTCTGGGAATGTCATTAGTATTCCCCAGAGAGCTGGTAAAGCATCAAAGCATCTATACACAGCATAATCAATTTCCCTTTCAAATTTTCAGATTATATTATCCTAGAAGTAAACATAATGAAACATCTATACAAGCAGTGTAAACCAGGCCATAGTTACAAGCACTCTAAAAGCACAGAGCCTCTGTCCCCAGCTCTCTTAACCCTCTCTCAAAGCCCTCAATGCAAGAGAATTTGGTGGGGAAAAATGTGGAGCTTCTTGAGAATGTGAAGATTTTTTTTAAGTAGAGAATGAAAAGAGAGAGAAAAAAAGAGTAACTTCAGAGTGGGGAAACCAAACACTATCACAGGCAGGTAATCAAGGTTAACGGCAACAGTGATAAGTCAGATTGACAGTATACACCCTTGATAAGTGTGACAAGAGTAGCACTTTACCTCTGTAGTCATCCTCCCAATATCCCATAACCGCAGTCTTATCAATATCAGACAAATCCCAATTGGGGAGCATTCTACAAAGTACTTGACCTCAAAGTATTCCTTAAAACTGCCAATGTCATTAACAACAAGGTAAGTCTAACAGAATGTCACAGCCTCAAGGAGCCTAAGAAGGCAAGGAGGCTAAATGTATCCTGAATGGGATCCTGGAACAGAAAAAAAGACATTAAATAAAAACTAAGGAAACCTGGCTGGACATGGTGGCTCACGCCTGTAATCCCAGCCCTTTGGGAGGCCGAGGCGATTGGATCACAAGGTCAAGAGATCAAGATCATCCTGGCCAACATGGAGAAACCTCGTTTCTACTAAAAATACAAAAATTAGCTGGGCATGGTGCCATGTGCCTATACTCCCAGCTATTTAGGAGGCTGAGGCAGGAGAATTGCTTAAACCTGGCAGGTGGAGGTTGCAGTGAGCTGATGCCACTGCACTCCAGCCTGGGCGACAAGAGCAAAACTCTGTCTCAAAAAAAAAAAAAAAAAAAACCAAAACTAAGGAAACCTGGATTAAAGTATGTACTTTAGTTCATAATAATGTATCCATATTGGCTGATACCAGTTATATGGTCCCTATACTAACAACACATCATTTTTGGTTGGAAAACGTTTTCTGCAATAAACTCAAGTACGCCAATTTAATTCATTGATCAACTTTCCATACAGGAAAGTTACAACATTTTCCATTTTTTCCATGTTCACTTTAATGTCATTGAAACCATTTTCATTGGGAATCATTTCCAGTAAAATATTTTAATGATGACTTTATCAATCCATATTTTGTCTATATCAAATGTTCCTAGCTATAAGTTCTTCCACTGCAAATTTACTTTCATAGCCATTATTTCTAACAAGCCAGTTTTCACTAAAATTTTACCATTCCATACTTTACTTATTTTATTTTTTCTTTAGAGACAGTCTCACTCTGCTACCCAAGCTGGTGGCTCATGCCTATAAGACCAGAACTTTGGGAGGCCGAGGTGGGAGGCTTGCTTGAGGCCAGGAGTTCAAAACTAGCCTAGTCAACATGGTGAGACTCCATATTTACAAAAAAAAAAAAATTTTAAGTTAGTTGGGCATGGTGGCTCATGCCTGTAGGCGGGAAGATCATGTAAGCTCAGGAACTCAAGGCTGCAGTGAGCTATGATCCTGCCTGGGTGACAGAGTGAGACCCTGTCTCAAAAAAAAAAAAAAAAAAAACACTATCAAGGTTTAAAATCTCAGCCCCACCTCTTAACTCACTGTATAACTGGGAAAGAAGTTACTTCCCCATGCCTCAATGCCTCCATCTGTTAAATGAGGAAAACCGTTGCAGTTACAGGGATGAGAATTAAATGAGACAATGTATGTAAGATATTGAGTACAGAGATTGGCACATTCTAAATCGTCAGGGCATGTCAGTGTAGATGTGTGTAAATATGTGATGGTGAGTTTTTACTACATACTATGCCTCGATAAATCAATAGAGGGCATGTACTCTCTTCTATTTAACATACCACAAACTACAGGAATGATTGCCCTAAAGTTGACTTTTTAAGCCCCCACTATTTATGTATAGTACATTTCTCTTTTCCATATTTTTACTGCTGGTCCGAATTGATTATATACCGTGTTACCACTATGTGTACAAAAGTGAAATTGTATAGTTAATATAAATATATAATGTAATAGCAGAAAACATCATATAATGGGAAAGCACAAATTTTAAAGTCAGACAGATGTAGAATCAAATTCCATTTGTCAGCTAAATGCTTGTCCAAGTTACTGAATCTTTGTGCATCTGTTTTCTCCTTGTTATAACAGGAATAAGACATGCATCTCACAAAATTGTGATGAGGATTAAGTAAACAACAGTGAAATGCTCAAAGAACACCCACAATAAATGTCATTCATTCTCTCTCTCTCTCTTTCTCACACACACACACACACACACACACACACACTCCTTAAGTACTGCCATCTCTCTACAGTGGACCATTCTGTCAGGTGATCTGTGCTACCACTTTCGTATTTTACATTATGTGTTTATTGTGGCAGTTTTTAAAGCAGGATACCTTACCCCTGGGTGCACTCAAAGACTGTCTAAAGAGTACAGACCTATGCATAATGTTATACTCTTTCCTAAAGTTGATCTGAGACTCCTTTCCTACCTCCCTTTGCACAATCACCCTTTGAAAGAAAGGTTTCCTATTATCCCAAGTGAAGTAACTCAAATAGAAAACCAAACATTGTATGTTCTCATTCCTAAGGGGGAGCTAAGCTATGAGAATACAAAGGCTTAAGAATGGTACAATGGACTCTGGGGACTCAGGGAAACGGTAGGAGGGAGTGAGGGATAAAAGGCTACACATTGGGTACAGTGTACACTGCTAGGGTGGTGGGTGCACCAAAACCTCAGAAATCAGCACTATAGAACTTATTCATGTAATCAAACACCACTTGTTCTCCAAAGACCTATTGGAAATAAAATTTAAAAAAGAAAGATCTCTTTACAAAAGGCACACTTTTACTCATTCTTAATCTTACTCTGGTACACTGCACCAAAGTGTAAAAAACTCTAGAATGCCAAATACAAGGATAATTCAACTCTTCCTCTAGCCAAGATTCCGTAAACACCCCCAGCCTTCTCATTAATAAACTTCTGGCTGAGTGCAGTGGCTCACACCTGTAATCCCTGCACTTTGGGAGGCCAAGTGCAGGAGGATCGCTTGAAGCCAGAATTTTAAGACTTGCCTGGGCAACAGAGACGCTTTCTCTATAAAAAATAATTTAAAAATTAGCCATGTGCAGTGGCGCAGGCCTGTAGTCTCAGCTGCTTAGAAGGCTGAGGCAGATCTCTTCAGCCCAGAAATTCCAGGCTGCAGTGAGCTATGATTGTGCCCAGGAGTTCCAGGCTGCAGTGAGCTATGATCGTGCCACTGCACTTGCTCTAGCCGGGGTGACACAGCAAGACCTCATCTCTTAAACAAATAAATTTTAAAAAATACATTTCTAACACAAATTGACCTTTAAAATTTAATAATGTTTATCATACTGTTTGTATTATTTTCATCTAGTGTTCCAATAATCTCAATAGGACTCAATCCAGACAAAAAAAAATTTAATACATGGAGCCTGTCAAAGGAAATTTTTAAAAAGCATTTCATTTATTCCTACATACAAATATACACACATATACATATTGCAGAAAAGTATGATAGAGTAAGCAAAAAAAAAAAAAAAAAAAAGCCCTCAAGCAAAACAATGGGGTAATTCACTGGTAGAAGAGGAATGAAGATCAAATTCAAAGAGGAAAAGAAATGAGTGAAATTTCCCAATGTTAAAGGGCTTTATTATTTCAAATGAAGATGGTGCATATTAAATCACTACCATATTTATATTCCATTGAATAAATTTCAGAGTGATTTAATATTTTGATTTGTAAACAGCAATAATTATAATAAGCCAGAAGTTACAAACTTTGCAACTATTTAAACTTAGGATGAAACAAAAATTAAGTAACAATTGAATTCTTTTAAGAGCTACACAGGGGTCTAAAAAAAGTCTGACCTCTGAAAAGTTAACCTTAACCCATCGAAGTGTCCTTCCTAAAACTCAAGTCAAGCCCAGGTAATTTCAATGGCAAGCAAGGAAACCACGAGTGCAAAGACCCTCTTCTTTCCCTACCCAACTTCAACCTTCCCTTCTGTGCTGCACACTCCCGCACCCCCCAGCACCCCACAGCCACCCGCTTCTCTTCCTCAGCAGTCCCCTTACCCGCCCTCACCCACCTCCTACTTCCCTTCCCCTTTCCCTACTTCCGCCCGTCCCAGTCCTCGGACGCATGCGCGTTTCGCCTCCTTCCCCGCCGCCGCTGCTGTGTCATGGCTAAGCGGAAGTCCCTGCCACCACGAGAAAAGGTGGGAGGCGCTTCTCACATCTTTCTCCCCTTCCTCGCATAACATTTCGATCCCCCACCGTAGAGGGTCCCCTACCCTGCACTTTCCCGAACACCTCGTAGTCCACGGATATGAGTGGCCGGGCTGTAGACATGGCAGCGGCGAGCCCTCTGCCGAGGAGCCGGAGCGGGGCTCGGGGCGCGGCGACTGCGGCGGCCGCGAGAGGGAGAGGGCACATGGGACCGCTTGGCGCACCCCGCGCCTGTCACCCGTCCCGGACGCAAGTGCGCCGGCGTTACGCGTCGGTAGCGGCAAATGAGACTGCAGGGCCTGGGAGCGAGGGCAGCCGGGCCCCAGGCATCCTATGCCTACTTTCCCCGTCTCTCTTCCCGGACTGGGGAGGATCCTCTCTCCACAGCGCTCCCTTCCATTTAATTGATCAAGGTGCTAAGTTCTCAAAGTTTGTAAATAAAAGCCGGATGCTGTGCCCAAAAAAGAGTTGCTTCCCTCAGCTTTGTTAAAGTGTAATTGACAAAAGTTGTGTGCCTTTGTGGTGTACGAGGTGATGTTTTGATAGATGTGTGCATTGTGAAATGATTAAATCAATGAAATTAACATCCACCGCACCATTTTTTAATGAAGAGAACATTTAAGATCGCTCGTCAGTTTTTAAAGATACAATACATTAACTACAGTCACCATGTAGACAACAGATCTCCAGAACTTACTATTTACACTAATTGAAACTTTGTACCCTTTGACCAATATGTCCCCGTTTCCAACCCTTTTCATCCCCCTATCCCAGGTCCTCCGCCCTGCTCCATCCCAGCAAGATTTGCTTTTGAAATCAAGGGCCTGCCTGTTTAGTGGTTGAGAGGTAATAAATTACTTTTGAAATCTTTGGATGACTACCAAATCCAGAAATTTGGGCCAGCTTTTAAAATGAGGTCTGCATCATCTTGAACTCTTCTGTAGCATCAGAAAGGAGTTGGGCCTGAACTCATATTCTAAATGTATTGTGGTATTTTCTGGGATGAGAAACTTTTTAAAAATATGAAGTATTTTATGCTAGTGGAAACAAAAGAGAAAAACACTAGTTTTGTCTGCTGTTCAGTCATACAGTTGGGTTTTTGTGTGTGTTTTGTTGTTGTTGTTTTGAGATAGAGTTTCACTCTTGACGCCCAAACTGGAGTACAATGGCGAGATCTCGGCTCACTGCAACCTCCACCTACCGGGTTCAAGAGTTTCTTCTGCCTCAGCCTCCTAAGTAGCTGGGATTACAGGCATGTCCCACTATGCCCAGATAATTTTTGTATTTTTAATAGAGACAGGGTTTCACCATGTTGTCCAGGCTGGTCTCAAACTTCTGACCTCAGGTGATCCACCTGCCTTGGCCTCACAAAATGCTGGGATAACAGGTGTGAACCACCGCTCCCTTTCTTTTTTTTTTTTTTTTTTTTAATGGTCTTGATTATTTATCAACAACATCCCAATTGCGTAGAAGGTTAAGGCTGATTTTTTTTTTCCTGGTGAGCTATTAAAAAGTTTTATTAGGCCGGGCGCGGTGGCTCACGCCTGTAATCCCAGCACTTTGGGAGGCTGAGGCGGGTGGATCACGAGGTCAAGAGCTCGAGACCATCCTGGTCAACATAGTGAAACCCCGTCTCTACTAAAAATACAAAAAATCAGCTGGGCATGGTGGCGCGTGCCTGTAATCCCAGCTACTCAGGAGGCTGAGGCAGGAGAATTGCCTGAACCCAGGAGGCGGAGGTTGCGGTGAGCCGAGATCACGCCATTGCACTCCAGCCTGGGCAACAAGAGCGAAACTCCGTCTCAAAAAAAAAAGTTTTATTATTGGCGGAGCGTGGTGGCTTACGCCTGTAATCCCAGCACTTTGGGAGGACTAGGCGGTCGGATCATGAGGTCAAGAAATTGAGACCAGCCTGGCCAACATAGTGAAACCCCTTCTCTACTCTCTACTAAAATACAAAAATTAGCTGGGCGAGGTGGCAGGCGCCTGTAGTCCCAGCTACTCGGGAGGCTGAGTCAGGAGAATTGCTTGAAGCCAGGAGGCAAAGGTTACAGTGAGCCGAGATTGCGCCACTGCACTCCAGCCTGGCGCCTGGCGAGAAAGCAAAACTTTGTCTCAAAAAAAAAAATGTTTTTTTACTATAAAACAATCCACCACTCCAAAGGATCTGGATACAGGTATTAATACTCTGCCACCTTCTAGAATTCCAAATCTGTTTACTTGTGAGAGTTTGGATTTCTCCATTAATTTGTTGGCCTCAATACCTTTACGTATTTCTCTGCACCTAGCCACACAGCTAAAATAATCCACTGCAATCTGATTCAATATACTGTGCGAGCTCTATTAGGGAACACCAAAAATCATCTAAAACTTGGTTAGAATGTGGTTAAATCATTTTTAAATTAAAATGTATTCTGGAGATGCTAATGCAGTTAATTTATGTAATGAAGGTGTTGGTTTATTGCAGAGATGTCACAAGTTATCTCTTCCATCTCCCAGTTTACTCCATGCAGACTCTAGATTCAACATAAATTTTAAGTCATTCTTCTTAATATGTTCAAAATAGAGCCTAAGGTCTTCAGCCTCCACTACCTGCTTCTGCAAATTCTGCATTTAAACTATAGTCAAGACACTCTTGGTTATTCTGCTGTCTCAATAGAGAGGTTTAAAACAAACAGCCTCTTCTCTTGGGTCTGCTCTATCTGGAATGCCTCCCCCTTCTCCAAAATCTATCCTGCTCAGTCACCTCTGTGAGTGGTTACCAGATTTTATCCTACTTATTTAGTATGTCTTCCCCACTAGTACAGTTAGCTATTCATACTAGTGGGTTCTGTGTCCATAGATTCAACCAACCTCAAACATCTAGATATAGATAGATATATCTTTTTAAAGCATATTGGTCAGCATGATGGCTCACACCTGTAATCTCAGCATGTTGGGAAGCCAAGGCTGGTGAACAGCTTGAGTCCAGGAGTTAGAGACCAGCCTAGACAATACAGTGAAGCCCCACCTCTATAAAAAATACAAAAATTAGCCAGGTGTGATGGCCTGTGCCTGTAGTCCCAGCTATCTGGGAGGCTGAGGTGGGAGGAGGATCCTTCAAGCCCAGGAGGTGGAGGTTGCAGTGAGCTGAAATCGGGCTACTGCACTCCAGCCTGGGCGATAGAGCAAGACCCTGTCTCAAAAAAAAAAAAAAAAGCATCTTTACTGAATAAGTGCAGACTTTTTTTCTTGTCATCATTCCCTGAACAATACAGTGTAATTGCATTTACATTGCATTAGGTATTATAAGTAATCTAAGAGATGACTTAAAGTATACAGGACAATACGCGTATGTATGTTTCTATCAGGAATGTGAACGTACCAGGATTTTGATATCCAAGGGGAGTCCTGGAACCAATCCCCTGCAGGTAACAATGGACAGCTATACTGTATCTTCTAAGCAGTCACTGACTGTGAAGGTTGACATTTTCCTTTTCTTAATCAATCTTTGACTTTTCTCCATATTTACCCAAGAGTACCCCTGCCAATTATTAGGTAGGTTTATTTGAATTTTAGAAGTGCTATAGCAACAATTGACATTTGCTTAGCTGAAAAATTTGCTGTGTCTGCCAACAGTCTAACATTAGCAAACGGAAATTTTTACGTACCATTTCAGCATGGATTGCCAATAATATGTGAGTCTAAGTCTTTAGAAGATTTAAGCAAATATTTCTAATATGTTTTAAGTAATAATAGTATGAATTCAACTTTTCTTCTTCTTTTCCATGTTGTAGTCTTTCCAATGAATATTTTAATAAATCATATTAGGTGGATAAACCACACATTTACCTACTGAGTCTGTGTTCACATTCAGGCTGCTTCTCATGTTTCACTACCATAAAAAATATTGTAAAGAAAATATTTATGCATGTAGCTTCCTTCCCACATATTTTTAATTGAAGTTAGAATATCAAATCAAAGGTATAAGCATGTAATTTTTCTTGATATATATTGCCAAACTGTTTTTCAAAGGGCTGTGCCAATTTAAATATATTACTACTAACTGATTAGTATGATTATTTGGCTTTTTATATAAACAAATGTATGCAGGTCCTTCACATACAATGCATGATTGAATTATATGAAAAGCTTTGGTTTTGTAACCTGAGCAACAGCTTTGGAATAACTAGGCTTTGTGTTACTACTGGTTGAAATTAAAACCTGTCAAAGAAAGGATTCCCTTCTTCGAACCCTTTAAGACAATTTGTTTGTGATCTAGAATCATGTTTAAAGTGATAGATAGAAAAGGAAAATTCTGCTTATATAATATGACTGTAAAAGATGACCAGGCACCAGAACCTGTGAAGTAAGGATAGATAATACAATCTCTGTGTCTAAATGACATTTGAACTGAGGAGGTACTGCATGTGACTCTTGAATTCATCACCACATAGGGACATTTGAAAGTGATTGCTAGGGTTATTTGTCAGAAATTTGATATTAAAATATGATTGATTTCAAGGACAAGCAAAATTACATTATCCATCAACATATTTCTGTCCCTGAAATATTTTTGTAATCATTATGTTGAAAGTGCAGGACCCAACAGGATACAAATTGTTAATTTCCACAAGGGAAGAGGCCTAAACAAGCCATTCATCGATCACTGTGGAAGGAATACTTTATAGGTAAAAATAAATGCTTAATTATTCCTTAACTGAATTCAAAATTATTAGACAGCAGACTGTTGGTCAATTAAGTAGACGGTTTCCCAGAAGAGGCTTTAATTTTATTACAAGTTATCAGAAAATTGCTTAAGCGTTCTATCAGCAAAGAATAATTCTTTCCAGAAGAAGATTCTGTCCCAGGTTTGAAACAAATTTTCTTTGTCACAATCCATTTCACTATTTAAAAGTCAGAAGGATATGGAACATTAAAGCTTCTTTCCTCTCCCGGCTTGGTACTGAGTATGCTGAAGTGAGAAGAGGGCATGGTTGGTCTTTCCACTTGCCTTAGTTATCCCTTACCTAGCTGAAAATGGAAAGAAACAAGTACTTTTGAGATCCATTTGGGCTCTTTGGGATTGGTGAATGTTCAAAGCTGATTATTTTGTAGGATTCTTTTTGTGGGGACCCAGAGCTTCACCCCACTAAGAATTCCTGACTGCTGCTCCCTTGTTAGGCAATTCAAGTTCTCTCTGCAGCCTCATCCAGCTTCTGTATTAAATGCTACACCTCCAACCTCTTTCTGCTGAAAGAGACTAGCCCCCAGCAAGAAGGCCATCTGAGTGGGATCCATTTTAAACTGACTACAGGACCACATCCCTCCCTTCCATCACTTCTAGTTGTGGAGACTCTCATCTCTGCCCTACCAGTAAGAGAAGTCACAGATTGCTCTGAACTCAACCACCTCTCTGCTGTGCTTGGCAGTCATTTTTCAGACATCTCCAGCCATACCCTTTCCTGTTTCTTTTCTTCAGGTATGGATCAACCTGTTTATTCTAGCTCCAAGGGGTAAACACTGAGTTCTCAGAAAGGTTTT